GAATTACTACAAATGTAGGCTTTTCATCAAAATGTATCTGATATTAGTTCTCTGTCTGGCTTTCAATTATGCTCATTTACAGAAAATTATTTATCGTTACAAATTTTCACACACATTATCTTTGATCCTAAAGATTGTTGAAACCTTCGAATTACTTTTCAATTGAGATGGGTCATCTTTTCTGGGCTACTGTACATCTCTTTAATTGTCCAATTAAATTCTGCATATCAATTCATATTTCTTTCATTCTTCACATTAAATATATAATACTTTTTGAAAATTTAGATCATTATTCTCCTAATGCAGCCAATGCAAAGTATTATAGGATCAATTTGACAAGATGATGAATAATATATATAAAAGTATATTTGCTCATTTAAACAATTTCTATATTATACTTACAGTTGTGCTTCTGGATTTTGAAAAAAAAAAAATTATCTAAATAACTACACATTTTTTGTTTTGTTTTATAAAGATTAACCAACATTTAGATAAAAGTTAAAAGAAATTATGTGGTATTTACGATGAAAAGTCTGAATTTTTACTGACACGTCATGTGATCTAATTTGATCATGATTTGTACAGTAATTTGAACTACGAAAATTGCCAGAAAATGAAGGTAGAATTTTTTAGAATTGAATGGTATGAAAAATGACAGCTGTTTAAGAGAATACAGATAAAATTATTAATATTATTTGTATCCCAGTATTGTATTTGTTGTAAGGTAATATGTATTTTGGCATGAATATTCATGAACAATATGCATAATTCATTAAGTGAAAACATCGTCTAATTTATTAATTCTTAAGCAAATGATGAAGAAGAATATTATTAAAAATATTTATATCCTAATGTATTTGTTGTAAGCTAATATGTATTATGACATGAATATTAATGAACATTATGCATAATTCATAAAGTTTTCCAAAGTGGTGAATAAATTAAGTATTCTGACAACATCGTCTAATTTCTTAATTTGTCAACTGTGTAGATAATTCAGTAAGTTTAGCAAATGTATTCTGCTTTTCCTTTGTGTTTTATTGTTTTTTGATTCCCCCACATCCCATAAATGAAATGAAATGGAGAATACGTTAATTCATAGTTTAACAGCATTTCATGCATTTTTAATGATTTTGGTTCACATACTAGGAAATGTACGTTGATAAACTGCAAGTGATCACTTTTAATGAGGTCAATAGGCACTACTTTGCGTTCTATTAAATGTCAAAACGGATTATATTTTTCACCTTTTGGTTTGGTTTTAGATATTCAGCTAGAATTTGATTGATAAACTGCAGGTAAAATAGATAACTGCTATTTCTCAAAGAGCTTTCATTTCTGTGTTGGTACGAAGTGTGCCCTCTGTGCGCTACAAAATATCTATGTATAAAACTAAAAAAAGTTGTTCTTACTGCATTAAAGAGTCAATTTAATTTAAGTAGGATGTGGGCGAACAGAAGACCATGTAATGTCATACTTGCAGAAAGTGTAAGTGGAAATGTAGATGAACAGAAGAACATATAATGTCATTCATGATGAAAGTGATATCAAATTTATGTTATTACAGGAACAAATCGGCCTTAATCAGTGTTTTCTCTGTAATCTATGTAGTACCTGTGTAGTTTAGAAATTGGAGAAAAAAAAAGAAATCTTTGTCATGTATAGACAGACTGCTTTTTTGAAAAGGGTCAGGTCTAAAAGAGAATATTTTAGGGATATTACAGCGCCTACAGTGCTTTTCATGACATCGAAATAAAACCTATTTGTAATTCTATAAAATGTTTTTCACATACTTTTAATGGAAATATAACCAAATTTACTGAAAGAAAATTTAATAATTGAATTGAAAAGTTTTTCAGAATGGGGGTGTTTGATACTTGATTCATAATCATGTTATCTCTTCAGTGGAAATTTGAGTGGCTGAGAGGTACAGGTAAAGCGGGGATGCCTCTAACTACAGCCTTAACATCGCCACTGAATGAAACCACTCCTCACCCAGAGCTCGGCTCTTGTTTCCTGAGGCTTGATTTTCCATAATGAAATATTTCCAAATGGACTTAAAATTTGAACCCTAGAATCTGGAGGAAAGAAAATGCAAATACCAACTATATTTCTATATCATAAAATATCAATCATTATCTTAATATTATTGCTTTAAATAATGTGTTTAATCATTTTTTAATTGTGCAATTTGACAAATAAATACCATCCTTTTGAAACATTGATAGTGATCAGATATGATCACATTTACATCAATAATTTGGTAGATTTAATGGAGGGGACTTTCAGCTCTTGGACAACTAATGAGGGACTCTTGGTGGCCTCTTGGCTTTTGTCCGATCGAAGTGGGACACCCCTTTGAAACCCAACTGTACCCCTCGATGCTACATTGGGCAATCATGAGCCACTGTCTCTGTCATTTATAATTCACTCGGCAGCTTCTGTCCAGTTTTAACCGTTGTCCAATGTTGTCAAGCTGTTTCCTCCTTTGTCTGGCTCATCTCTGTTCCTCTCAATCAATGCCGTTGTCACTATGTCTGCCATACTCTATACGTTCTTAACTGATAATACTTGTGCTGAAAATTTTTCTTTCTGTAGTTTGCCTGTCACGCTAAAAACTTGGTTCGGGCCAAAAATGTCCGCCGGACTACATTTGGCCGCTAAAATCAGTATCTGTTTGATTTTAGCTGTTAAAACTGGTCCCTCTTAAAATAAACACAAGACTGATTTATTAGTTTTAAATATTCCAGGTTATTGTGTGGGGTAGTAGATTATAAAATAGATGTTATTAAATGAAAATAAAGGGGTCGAAATTTCTTGGAAATGAATTCTTATGTATTTCATCACAGCGTTAAGCAACTATCACACAACCAGAAAAAAACAAGGTAAAAGAATAAACTAAAGCGGACTAACACGATTTAAGACCATATTGTATAACTTGTTTTCTCACTTTTTACACCAAAGAGTTCACTGTACTTGGCACGAAGCAAAAAATAACATATAAATTTTGGTGGCTGTATATCACAACGAATGAAAACATATTATATAATGAGAGATGAGATATTTATCTATCATTTGATTAAAAAAAAATATGAACAACGCTAAAAACATACAGGTTATATAGATGCCAGATCGAGTTTGGCTTATTATGGACTACATTTTGGCACTGGTATTTTAAAGTCAAAATCGTTCCGGCGGATCGACTTCTGGCCCCGGACCAAGTTATTCTTGATAGGCCTAACACATAATAGAAAAGTTTTAAGATATCTTTAGTATATTATTTGCATGAATAAATACTAATACCGTATAAATAATTATAGTAAATGATGATAAAAATCACGCCGGCAATTAACAACAACAAGGATGAACATAGTAACTACAGTGCTAGCTAAGTGTTTGAGGAAATGTATCAATTAGTATGGAACACTTTTTCGCACTAAAATCTTTAACAGGTGTTTTTGGTGATAATCTGTAATGATTCAACATTTTTGCAATTGTGTAACATGTTTTATTGTATTAAGTGTTTTGTTTATTGTGTATGAGTGTAAGCCATTGTTTTAAAAGCATTGTTTAAAATACAGTTATATGATTTTTATTTTTCATTTTTTTATCTTTAAAATGAGATAAATATTAGAATATAAATTGACTTAATTGTGGACATTAAGTAGGTCATGCTTGGAATTGTAAAGTTTCCTTTCCTCGAGCTATTTCCATGTTGGAATGGAATTACCGATATTAGGGTATTGTAAGGTAATTAGTGGTTGCTTTTTGTATAATATTCAAGGCGGCAAAAAGGTCTTATAATTTCCGTTGGGAGGATGCGACCAGAGGGCCCATTCTGTGTTCTTGTGGGGTCCATGGTGTGACTTTTGAACTTTATTAAGCTGTACTTATAATTGGTCTAAAAATTATGCTCAATGAATTTTTAAAAATTACTCTACTTGGATTGAACTGGAAGTGTTGTCAAGCTTATAAGCATGTCTCTTATCTGTTAACTAAACATCCATTTAAGAATATCATTTATTTACTTCTTTCTCATATTAAAATATAAAAAACATTATAAAAATATACTCCTCATTAAGTTCAACACATGATTAATAAATAATATATAAGTATGCAAAACATATTAAAAAATATCAAATAAAGTTAATAATTGCCACTGATAATTAATGTTATTGTTATGTATTATTAAAGAATAAATATATGTAATAAAAAGCAAAATCATACAGCATAAATTAAATATTTAAAAAAAAAAACATATCTTCTATATCAAAGACTATATATTTAAACCATTTAATGATAGTATCTCTCAGTAAATATATAAAATCTTTAAAGAAAATCCAGTACAAAAAGACCATTAATAGATCATTTAAAAGGATCAAGTACACAAATCATTACATTGATTACTGGTACTAGCCAATTTAAGAGTTTATACAAATTTAAGAAATCGGGGAAAGGAAAAAATTGGTAGGGGAGAGGGAAGGAAATTCACAATTTTATACTGGTGTCAACACTTAAGCAAGAAACTAAGCTCTGTCCAGATTAATATCAAATTTTCTTTCACAAAAAACTGTTATATGCCCATATATAGTCATAATGTGCCTATATATTGTCATTATGTGATGTCATCATGCCCATATTTAGGCAAGTCACGTGTTTTTCTCAAATCAAATTTGATAGTCTGAACGGGACTTAAGTATTTCGGTTGCTGAAATTAGACAGTAAATTTTTAATAAATACCAGGATTAATGTAAATATAAAACCTCTTCAATAAATAATGCATAACGTTTACATATAATTAAAATGTACATGATAAGAATGTTTAATTCAAAAGAGATTATTCTTATAAGTCAAATTAACCACAAAGTCTAGCTTATTGAATGTTATTATATAAAATATATTGATTTTGTGTAGATGACCCGACCTAGTTTTATAACTAGAGACATGATTCAAAGTGGTTTTGTGTTTTTTCATTCATTTTTCTTTTTTTTGGCTTTCAGAATATTGTTGATGAAGTACAGACTGAAATGTGAAAGTTAAGATTAATTTTGAGCAATTGGTATGAGCAAAGAGGTATGTTAAAATCACAAACATACTTAATGTGATTTATTTGCTGACAATTACATTTCAAAAATGAAATCAATCATAAATTATCTACATACTGATAATGTTTTTGTTTTGCTGATGTAAACTTTGCAAGTAATTTTATTTATTTGTTTTTTTCTTTTATTATTACAAATTTGACATACAGATGACCAGGAGGAAACCATGAGCTGAGCGACAAACACAAAAGTGGAACCGTGAATAAAATTCAATATAAATATGCAAAAGATATACACTATGTTTAAAATTTATAAACATTAAAAACCACGATAAAAAATAAGAAAAAAAGGTTCATCTAGGTTTCTGATTGGCTTGTAACAGTCTGTTTGAAGGTGGTAGTTATGGTGTTTTGCTTTACCAGAAAAACTGATTTTATCAATATGAATGAGAGCAACATTATTAAACATTGAATAACTACCAAAATTATATATTTCTAAACAATTGACAGTACTATAGTTGCTCGAAGCCCACCCCCCCC